AAGCTTAAGCAGCAAATTCTGTTAACTAAGGCAGCAGCAGAACCTAGGAAAAGGGCTGTGCTAGGCCACATGCAGCAAGTGCACACTGTTTAAAGCTCCACCTGTTCAGACTGTTTCAAGAAGCAGTAAGAGATTTCCTTGGAAAAGATTCCTATGGCCACGTATTGGCAAGGATTTGTGGCAAAGAGTTATTCTGAATTGCTTTTGCATTCTTATTTCTTGGAACACACAGGTGCAGATTAAATGAGTTCAAAAACAGGACACCAGGAAACAATGAAGTTTTGTCCTTATTACCAAGTAACATGTTGAGATCATTATTATTTATTTTAACAAGGCAGTCTAAGATACACAAGTGACTAGACACCTTTGCTGGTTTCCCAGCAACTCAAGGGTTCTACAAGAAAGACGCTCAGGCACTATCAGTTCCAGAAATCCATGGAAGACGAGAACCTGGCAGACCCGTAACACCACGAAGTACCCAAGCTTGTGTCTTATCTTGGTCATTTATTTACTGTCCCAACACTGACTTACTGTCATATGGTATTCCATGTTCTAGCATGGCCTGAGGCTCCTTCAGCTTCAATCATGATACATGCAGTGAGAAGAATGCTTTGTTATTAGCCCATGAGTTGCACACAGCCATCTGGTTAGATGCTGTCATCAAAACCTTGATCAACCTTTGGAACAAAGCAAGCAAAATCAATGTATGATCCAGGATCCAGGAGGAAAGAAGTATACAGCTGTGCTGAGAGTGACCTTGAAAGCTGCTACTGCTGATTAGCAGAAGCAAACAGATGACAACAAAGGAGAAAAACATGCAGGGCTATGTCTAAATATCCTAAGTCTGGTATTGACCAAGTTCCTTACTGACAAGAACGACTGTGTTCATGAACTTCACTGCAATTCTGTTTTGATTAAAACAACACAATGCTTTCTAAAGCACATTATTAGCCCATGTGGACTCAGAGATGGAAACATCTGACTGCACTGTAGCCATCTCTGCTTCAGCATAAGGAGACATTCTCTTGCCCTTGCCTGTTCACCAGTTAATCTGAAGCCAAATATTTCACTTTTATCCTCACATACATTACAAAGTAGACGGATGCCAATCACGCATCAAGTTACAACTCAAGCAAGTTCAAAAGCAATACAATATTGACAGTATCACTTTGCCTCTGCCCTTTGCTAAACTGTAATGCTACCTGTCAGGTTTGTATAAAGTGTCTTCTCCAACAAACCTGACAGCAAGGAAAGTTCCAGAAACACCAGCCACTGATACAATATTGACAGTTTATCAGGAAGAAATTCAGAATCTGCGTAAAAGCTAGATTTTTACAACTGTTATCTTCATACGCCTGTACAAAGTAGGTACCCTTTTCTGTTAACATTTGAGCTTCACACCAAAGGCCAAGCATGGGATATTTGTCATCTACATATTTTGAAAATTCCAGCTACACAAAACAGAACTAATCTCAGGTCACCTTCAGTTCAACCATGTTAGATAGCAGTAGTGCCTTTCATATTTCCATTACTACACAGCAAAAAAATATGTCTGCCAACCCCAAACTAATATACAGCTGCAGTCATTTAATCTGACAGCTTCCACAGTATGATGGCAATATCCTCTTGGGCTTACCAAAAGATAAATCAGACAGATAAATCCATAGATGTGAAGAATTTCCATTGGAGTTTCCCAGCCAAATACACAGCAATGCACTGGGATACTACAAGCCATGTCATACATACCTATTAGTTCCTCTCTGAACAGAGGATACAGTACAAACACCAACTGTCTTCATAACAGGATGGTGAAGCTTGGTGACACCTAACAGTTGTGCACGTGTATTTAATCATACTAAACTAGATGCAACAAGATGAACTCAAACTCCAGCAGCCACGTGTACTTCTATGCATCCAAACATCACAAACTGAACACAATCCACTCATGTAAGACCGTTACAGTGTTTTCAGTGAGTCTATTTCTACAGCATTTTTTGGAACTAGATCAGATCAGTATAAACACTACCTAAAAGAAATAGGGTTCAAGATTAGAGTAGCACAATAACCACAACTATATGAAACATTCTTTTTCTTCTTTTAAGTACCAAAGAATTAGGAATATTCCATGAAGAGAAACCACTAACCACTAAGAAGCATATTTAAGAAAAAAAAAAAAAAAGAGAGAGAAAAGTCATGTAAAACCAAGAATCCCCTATGAACCAACACCAAAGAGACCTAAGAAGCACTTCTTGGGGCAATATTTTAAATCAAATTAAAGCACGTATTTCCCAAGTGTCTGGGAATCACATGCCTGTCAACCAAAAAGGAACAAGACAAGAGGTTATGTGCCATGTTGTACTGTGCTAGGAAATCAGAAATGTTACTGTCAAAGGGGTAGGGGGAGAACATACAAAAATACCCCTCAAACGGTGTAATGTTTTATACACCTCAACAGCTCATTTGACAATCCTCCTGTAACTTCCCAGCACACTGTGCTATTTCGCAGCATTTTAGGCTTGTATGGACACATTTGCATACAGAAAAATTGTTAACAATTAAACCACTAGCAATTTCCATAGAAAGAGTTAATTTTATCTGAGTATAATTAGATTCAGGTTCTCTTTTCTACCTCTTCCAGAATGGACAAATAGTAAAAATACTGAAGATCCATATTAACATGGCAAACATCAGCTGAAGCGGTATGGTGAGTTCTGTTATGTATCTGATCCCGTGGTTTGCTTTCAGCATGGCAAATCAATCATATCTATAGGGATAAGGTTATTAAACCATTCCCCCCCTCCCCAATATAGGATGATGGACGTTAGTAGACATCGCAACTCCCCAGAAGTCAAAACAGCACTCAAATCCTTTGCAAGTGACTGCTGCTATATAAAACAGGCAATTTTTCAGAATACCACCATCAGATCTGGCTTTCTAGTGCTATAAAATAAACTAGGAACTTCCTGTGTCTTTAGAACACATAAGAAGGCCTGAAGACTTTATTTTCCTTTTGACACAGCATCTGTAACACAAGTGAGCATGTTAGGTACTCACATAACATACAGTTTTACACCTGGACATTCATGATACAGAGGACATTGTTCCAGAAACTAAGGAAAAATGGAAGATACTTGGTAACATGATGCTTCTTATAATAGATGTTTGCACTTGGTAAAACCCAGCGTTTTCAAAACCTGTAAAACCAAACCTCAAGTAAGCAGTGACTTAGAGCAGGAAGTTAGCCTGTGAAGGCTTACAGAGTACATTTCGTCAATTACCTTGTCACAAACTGACCTTATTCTCACTTACACAATTCTCATCACTGACCTTCAAGAACAAATGTCTTTGAGCAATACCACAAGAAATCTACTACATTTTATTCTATTTAGTGGAACAGATGCTTCCTTCAAGGTGAGGTAAAACTTTGTTCAAAACCACAGACCAATCCAATATAAATCAAGAAAATATATATGCTGTAAGTTTGGGTTTGGTTTGGTTTTTTTAATGCAAAACTCCATACTTCTTGAGTAACAGTAAGGTATGCTAAAATAACCAGTCAGACTTCATTCAAATGAATTAGACAACTTTTACTAAATGAAAAAACCTACATTTAAAATATGCATTTAAAACAAAATGGAATTAGAAAAAGATACTTAAATCCATTTTTAAGAACTTGCTCACGGTGTCAGAAATCAATGTATCTCTTGCATTATATAATGTGCCAGTTCATAAAACGTAAGTTACCAGAATCCTCAATTTAACATTTTCAAAGACAATACTGAAGTCAAGAGTTTTACATCTACTGATGCACATTTAAAATGGTATAAATCTGAAGCCTTCCCCCAAAGAATCTTACAAATTTGACAATATTCAATAAAAGCTTTTGTAGTTATGTGCAATAAGTATTGCATCCTAAAGCATCACAATTCTGTGCCTTTCATCTATCCTACTATAAGTTTTCTATCTTCTCTGTATCTTGCCAGTTGCCAATGTTAACTCTTTTGAGAAAGGAGAGAATTGAAAAGAAATACTGCATAACTCTTGATCATGTACAGAAATTATTGCTACTATAGTACACTACAAAGCAGAAGTCTATACAATAGTATATGAAATTTGATCATGAAAATCCAAAGGATATAATCTTTAGTGACATAAGCCTTATAATCATGTTGAACATTCCTATAGCATTTGCAGCTCACCACTCACCAGCTAGCTTACTGTCCGTTGATGAACATCCATTTAAACACACCCTCTTATGAAAAAGAATGTCAGCTTTCAAAGGCTTAGCAAATAAGGATCTTCATGTTCTGTGGAACTATGTAAGATGAACTCTGATGCAGGTAAGGAGTTACCTGGAAGCTAGGCATGCCAAAGGTGTTTCATGCTAATAAAACTAAAGCCAAGGTACCACATAATCAAGTTACCAACTAATAGGCAATACCATTTTGTCCTACCTAAGTTAAATGAAGCGCCATAGCACAGTGTAACGTCGATAATTTAAAATAGTGTAGTGCACAAACTCATTGTGTGGCAGTTTAAGTTAAAAAGTCAAGACAGGGTTTTCTGTCTCAATTTATGCTGGCTGTCAACCTGTCTAGTCTGGGCGGTTTGGACTTAATTTGCCTTTTAATCACTACCATATGAGAAACTTTGCATTGTAATGGGGCACACATTTGGGCGGCATTATTATGAGCAACAGGGAACTAGGGGAAGGATAAGAGATCAATGGCTGTTCTAAACAGCCATTCTTCCTTATTTCAATTTCAAAGAGAGAGCCAGGAAATAAGACTAGATATCATATTAGCATCATTCTAGCTACAAAATAACCAAAGTAAAAGCAATCAAGCAACAATAAGACCACATTACACAAATGGAACATCATGCTCTCATCTGGTTTAACTATTACATCAAGTTTTAACTGGGATGTTGGTCAACTTTAAAAACCGTGGTAAATGTGAGTATGTAGTTGCAATAGTTTTTTCCTAATATTTTCTTTTTTTTCTCTATGCTGGATATTAGAACTTGGAGCTATACTTGTTACAATACAGTGTCGCACATCTTTCTACTAGAAAAAAAATTAATAAAGATCCTTTACCCGTCTCTTTAAGTTAAACGTGTGACATCATAAAGGGTGTCAAATGGCTGGATGGTTTTACAGTGCACACATTATATACTGTAATATGGAGTTTTGTCCTTGACAGATCTGATGGTGTTTCTACATTATTCCTTTCTTCACCTCTTCTTCGGTGGATTAGCTGTGCGAGGTGGAGTGACTGGACGCCCAGAATTCAGTCCACCATACTGGTACTTGGCTTTCTTTTCAGATGGTTTCAATATCTTGGAGAAAATAAAGAAGTTCTTTTGAGTCAGTGACAACTAAGAACATTTCAAATACTGTTAAGCCAACATGAAATCTCATTCAGCAGGAACAAGGGTGGGGAGGAAATTGCATCACAAGCCTACAAATTTCTCAATCCTACATACAACAGTAATACTACTTCTAAATACTTCTAGTTCCACCACTACACTGGGGTGAGAAAGGGAAAGAAACGGGGCAGAAAACATGTCCAGGAAGGAAGAGGAATTAGAATCTGATCAGAGTAACCACACTAGAAGGGCCCCAGTAGTCCATTAGTCTACGTAGTTAGGTACTCTCATTACTAGGTATGACGAAAAAGAATCACCCAATGAAATTCTTAAATTAGCATCTGAATAGAGGGAGTAACTCAATATGCAGGAGTTTGGAAAACAGCAAATCCCACACAGTTCTCTGGAGAACAGTTGGTCTGCAGTTTTAATTGTGGACTGCTGTGCAGTCCTCTTTGTAGCCCAAGTATGTTACCCTAGACTAACCATAAACACAACAAGATGACTAACTCAGTCCATATAACCCAACACCTAAAGCAATATTTACTGTACAAATGTATCATACCTGAAAGGAACACATCAGAGTTTCATCCACACTCATCATGCCCCCTGCATTGTCAAACTCTCCACAATAATTTGGAGCTGAGAATAGGGTGACCAACTGCCGTTTAGCAAAGAATTCATATCCATCTTCAACCACCTGTCAACACCACAGAAATCAATACAGCTCACATTAAAAAGAGAGATACATTTTGAATAAAAAAAGCCAGCCTTGAGGCAAACAGGACTTATATTAAAGAGATGGCAAGAACTCATCAAAAAGTTATTCTACATCTTGGCATTTCAGTCATTTTGTCTTATCTGGACACTGAATGCCCAGTCAGGTACCTTAACCTGTCTGACACTTCCAATGTTAAATATGCATCAGTTTGTTCAGTATTTTCATACCTGAAATCTGATTATGCATTGCCAGTTCAAAGATTCCCAGCATTTTACAGCTTATACACAGAATTTGGATGTTCGACCTACTAGTCCAGAGCACACAAGGTGTGGATACCAACTTCATTGCAACTGTAATGGTTGAGTTTCATTTATCCTGAATGTTGACAAACCTCAAGTGTAGGCTTTTTTAAAATTTTGATGCTCTAAAAGCATAGTGGTTCTGCCATATTTTCTCAAAGAGCATAATTCACCTTTAAAATAGTGCAAGGAAAATGATGCATCAGCTAAGGATGTTCCCTCTTCTCCAAAACAGAAGCATCTCTTTAATAACATACTGAAACTAAGGCATCAACTGCTCACTTTAGTTCAGTCACCATCGTCTTCTAAAAGATGTCATACTCCCTTTACGAAGAGCTAAAGTGACTACAGTTGCTACCAATCTCCATCAGCAGTTAATAATCTTAATATCCATTCCACACACTGACTAATCTTCTCTAATGTTTAATGTTTTTAGCAGCAGAATTGCAAGGAGAAATATTCAAATGTTCCGATAGTATACCCAACTCTAACAGTGACAGAGAGTATAAAGGAGACAGCTTTCAAAACTGACTAAATAATGAAACTGAAATGTTATATAGGAAACTGAAACCTGGTGTCCACCTAACTAGGACACTTGCTTAAAGTAACTTAATAAAAACCGCAAAAAAGTACACTTAAATATTGATGATTCCAAAAATAACCTTGCTTTCTGCACATTTCAGTAATCCAAACAATATATGCCAAAGTAGTCTAGATAGCTGAACCAAAATGAAAGCAATGGTGAAATCTTTTATGTACAGACTTGTTTGCAGAAACATTAAAAACACATTTAATACTTCCATGAAGTGAAGCAGGTAGTTTAAGCCACAACTACCAGAGAACTGACTGCTACTGAAGTGGACAACCCTGAAACTTCAGTGTAAATCTCAAATTCACTTTGCCACTTTAAACATGGACACTTTACCTCTAACATTCATAGACAACACTAACAGTAAACAGACAATACAGAAGACAGACATCACTGTGAAAATCCAGTGTTAGCATTTTACTTCACTGACATTAAACAGTTCAGTATAAGTCAATAGAAGGACACAGGATTATAGTCCCTTTATTAGAAAGATACTCTTTTTCCTAGAAGTATCACAATAAAGAAGTTTCAAATATATTCTACTGATAAGCAGCAAAGACACAGAAAATCTAAAAGGAGAGATTTTAAGAAGCAACAGCAGCATAATTCATACCTGGTGAGCTCGACAGATCAAATCCAGATCGTGACGATTCAGAAATTTACTGACCACATCAGCACCAAAAGTAAAAGAGACCCCACGATCATTTTCACCCCAACCTTGCACATCTTTGTCTGGGTCAGACCACAGTAGGTCACACAGCAAGCCTTTGAAAGATAACACAAGTGAAGATGGTAGTCTTAGGAAGTATCATGCTATAATATAAAATAGTTTATTTGTAATTACCAGAGCAGCTCTCCTAAAGCAAGTAAGCCTTGGCAACAAATTCAGCAACACTTAAGCTGCGACTCAGACAAATGACATGATCTGCGTAAACCTGAGGATTTTTTCCCTCATCTCACAACTGACAGTAACTTGAGATAAAAAGAGTCAAATAGTTCTCTGAAAGAGTATTTAACTGTAATATTCAGCATGTTTACAAGTACTCCAGCAGGTTCACTTTAAAAGGCAGCCATCAATTTCGCAGCTCACCAAGAAAACTGCTTCTGAAAGCTGAAGTAAATTTTGAAATCCTATGCAAGGCCAGTCACAAATATAGCAAATAAACTTGTGCCACAAGCTTCTGAACTCAGAACAGTTTTGATTCTTACCTTGCTTACCATACAAGAATCACCTTACAAGACTTAATCAAAATATAACACAGCAGAATTCTGATTCAGGTAGCACTTTCAGTTTGCTTGGACTACTGTTGACTTTTCTAAAAGCCTCCTGCCAATCAGTCTGGAATCTAAATTAGAACAATAAACCCCTTTGGTATTTTAGCACTGGTCAAGATCTTTTTTCTGCTGCCAACATAAGGTCAGCTAAATCTGGAGTTAAAACTGGGTACTAAAAAAAATTCTCTGTAACAACTCCAATGCATTTACACATAGAACCTTCAAAGCATTTTCACATGAAGAACCAGGCCAATTCAACTACAATGCAAACCAAAAAGCATTCAAAACGTATTTCGTAGTTTTCCATTAAATTCTTTCTTTACCTGCAATGACCAACCCATAGGCATTTAAACACTTCAGAGCATTGTTTCACAGTGTAAAAGATGCCAGCAGGCTCCTTTATTTGGCACTGAGAAGATTTGATGTACACTTACATCTAGTTATTTGCTAAATAAAATGTTTAAGACACTATTTCTTAAATAACAGATCCTTCAAATTGTAATGAAGCAAAACTAATGTCTGAAACCTACTGTGCAACTAGACCATTTTGTATTTACATACAGCTATCAAATGGTCTTTGGTGCCTATCACAGTTCCTCTCTAGCAGAGGCTAAGACTTTATTTACTTTCAAAAGACAAAGAACAGAACAAGTAAAACTGCATTTTACATAAAATATGTATCTAGAAACAAACTTCTGAACACAGACAGCATATGACAAGAAACTTACTTTACTGAAATTTAGTTCTATATTGAATAACATGTTTTTCAAAACAGAACAGTTACACTGCAATCCCTAATGGTTTCTTGTCACGAATTTCCAACAACTGACAGAAGGTGCTTGTCTTAGCTGCTTAGGAAGCACTTCCTCTTCCACTCTCTCCCCCAAATCAAATCATCTTTAGTGTTATACAGAGGAACAGAGAAACCTGCCCTATAATCCTCAGCAGCTGCGTATAAGAATGCTGCAACAAGTTTGTCTAAACTAAACTATGCTGCTCAAGTAGGTTATTATTTTAACACACAACACCTTCCACTGCAATAGCTTAGGCTGACCAGGAGCATACCACAACACAGCTGATACCAGACATTCCAGGTTACGCAAAAGAGGGAGTTAGTTTCCTAATAGGAAAACGGTTGGCAACACTGAGCAAAACATGATTTATACCTCGGCCTCACAAAATGCAAATACTTAACCATTAGCAAAGGCAAGTGATTTAAGTTAGAATACAGAATCAGATTTGAGTGAACAGCTTCCAAACCCCCTAAGAACGCCACCAAAATAAGTTTTTAAATTGAAGTTGAAACGTTTTTTTTTACATTAGGCTAGAATAAATTATCATAACAATCTAATCTTCTCAGACAAGCCACACAAGCATCTAACAAGAATTTCTGTAGCAACACACACATTCATGAAGTGACATCCCTCCACACAAAGGGATGGTTTTTAAGGACTTGAAACTGTCACAGAAGTGAGACCACTTCAGTTTATTTTTCAGTTTTCCATAAGATTTACTTCTAATCTGTAATATCAGTTGCCTTAAGTAGGTCCAAAAGGCCAAAACCTTCTATGCCACCGTACCATATGCACACATCTCTGATGGGACATTTCATTTTACCTCTGCTGACAGATATTGCTTCTGAAAGCAGAATTAAGACTGCAAACCACTCCGTAGATCAAAAGTTGTTCTTTGTTTTTTTAATCTCTGCACTTATTTTTAGGAGATACTAAGAATACATATGATTTCAGTGGAGTGTCCATGGAAACCAGAACTTTCTGAAGTGGGGGTGGCTCAAGCAGTAGTATTAGCCTGTTGAATAGAAGTATCTTTTCTGAGAGCTCTGATAAATGTAAAGACTGACTCATTTGTACTGACATTTACTTGGTTATACAGTTAATGCATAAGTAGCATAAAAGAACAATGTAGTAATTTATACTACAGAAACAGTCATTCACTGGTCTTGTAATGCTTCTCAGTGTCAAGTGTGTATATACCATTCTGCCCAGAAATACTGCTGTTTAAGGGACAGTAGATATACTAATATAGTCCCTGAATGACTCCTATGCATCAGCACTGAGGAACATAAAAAAGGTTTAGATGGGATATCTACTCTGAAATTTAATTTAAGACGACTGTTTAAATCAACAATTCAAAAAACATCCCTTTGTACAGCTTACCAGTCTTTTCAATCCACTAGTAACAAAATTACGAATAGAGGGGGTATTGAGGAAGAAGATTAATTAAATAATTCAAAAGAATATTACACAGAAAGCACTGGCAATTGAAATCCCAACTGCAGTGAATTAGGAGCTATACTTTTCAAATTTAAAGAGGAACGAGACATGGCCCAAGTAGAAAGAAGCCTAAATACTTGTAACACTCAACAAGCTTTAAACAGTTATGTTCTCTGATAGACTGAAAAGTCTGGGTGAGCCTAACCAAGGCAAGAAGAAAAGCCTAGCTGTTTAGTTTCATCTGATCTTTCTTCAGGTTTCTGGAGTTTGTTTTAAGGCAAAGCTGTGGATAACATATGCAGACTTGGATAATGTTTCCTACTCTGCTATGACAACATGAGTAATAGCCTCTAACATATCAGATAACTTAGCCACGATGAGGAACACGACTCATGCCCTACACAGACATCAAGGAATACTGTACTGGGAACAGTTTGCCTTAACTTACCACATTGCCTTTACAGAAATTGATTAAACCTGTTTCATCATTAAGACTCATTTACAGTAAATTCCATGTCACTCACCTGTGTCAGGAACATCTGTAGGTCTCATAATTCTCCGGATCTGTTCCATTGACTGGAGATCTGGAGACAGACCTGCAAGCACAAGAAAACAAGTGACTTATCTACATATTTTACCTGTAAAAAGGGTTCCAGAGAACACACAATTAGAGGTTCAAAGTCATACAGCATCCACTGTTTCCACTGTAATAGAAACAAGAGACAGTTTGCTATAAGACATTTAAGTTCCTGAACAGAACGACAGAAAATAACACAAGTGAAATCAGCAAGGGGTTTTAACTGTTTTTCTATCATGCCTTTAGCCACACAGCACAGAACTCTAGTTAAGACCAATCTCTTAAACAGCTTACTAGAAATAACAACTGAAGAATAGCATTCCCATTATTTAACACAATTATACTGAGAGCAGATAACATTCTTTACAACCACCTTACAAGACCTAAAGAAAAATCCCTACAGTGGTACTTCAGTGTTTTATTGCACATCAGCTGAGCAGCAGTCACTGGGTGCTGTAAATGAATACCAGACCATAAGTACAATAGCTAAGGAGCACAGAGGTGGTGATCATCTACTATAGCTCAGCTGCTTAGTCATTTACAAAACTGTAGTACCTTGCTTACTCAAAAAAAATCATCTGTCAAAAAGACACAGCTCTTTATGTATAGTTTTGCAATACTGACATGTAATTACATGGGACTCCAAAGCCACCCTTCAAACAGTTTAAGTAAACACTCTAGAGGTTTTCTGCTTGAGGCATACAGGCATGAAAGAGCACGTATTAGATGCTCTAGCACCTTAACATGTCCTTAAAAACGGGTCTTAAAGTGACTTAAATGACTAGGTCAAAATAACCAAATGAAGAAAATTGCAAATTTGGAAATAGAGCATAAAGCCCTAATTTGTGATAAAACATATTTCATATTAACAAGCCATATCCATACTCAGTCCAGAACTTCGAACATCATAGAAAAATATCTGCCATTGGAAGGATTCACTGTGTAGAATAATTTCAGCTGACATCAGAGTTTGCGCAGTGGCAATGTATGTGTTACAGGAACAATGACTCCAATGCTTTTAATAAGAAGACTTGAACTATTTTTCTAAGATTTAAATTTTTTTTTGTTGTTGTTGAAGCAGTCTTATAATACAAGCCTTTATCCTCATGAGCTTGTTAAAGCTGTCTTCACAGTATTACCTTGAGGTTGTGAAGGACGGCACAAATCTTACATCAAACAGCATGTTGAAGGAGATTAAGTCAATCTACTTACACAACAATTCAGGGATAGTAATATTAAATTCAAGTAGATAATCAGCTTTTAAATTATGACCAACCTATCACTTCCCCTTCCCCAGATCCGATCTATTTACATGCAGAGTACATTAGCAGTAAGGCATGGGGATTCTACTTTGATTCTACACAGCACCACACCCCAAGACAGTAATGGGCTATCTCGGTGAAATAACCAGTTTGTGACCTTCCATGAGGTTACAGCTCTCAGTGTTTCAGGCTACACCCAAAACATGGAGTTCTTCAAAAGAAAATAGATTATTACAACCACATCTCAACTCTGCAGCTTGTCATTTTTTGTGCTATTTTACATCACTGCAAAATAGCAAAACCCCACAAAACTGCCTGCATGTTTGTAGGCCTTCTTTTAACCACACAGGAGGTTGTCCTCTCCCAAAGATCTTCCTAACTTCCCTTGCACAAAAAGAAATAGCTGACGTCTCAAATTCAGACTTAGAGACACAAGTTGTACATGATCAGCATTAAATGAAGGAAGTAAGAATGCAAATACAGGCTACTAAAGCTCACTGTCAAGCTGCTGCTACTACAGTCATTGCTGCAACCTACTGTGTACTGAAAGAAAACTGGAAAGTACACAATTTAATTCAATTGTCTTGTCATATAATGACAGCTAAGCACAGAAAAAGTATCTTTCACTATACTATCTTCTCCAAGTGTAAGAGGACACCCTCCCTGAGGGAAAACAGAAAATGAACTGTCATTACTCCTGGAAGAATCAGCAAATCTAGGCTCTAAATCTGAACCCAGTCCCTGATCAGGTGGAATCGGTAAAAGTGATGGCTACTTATTTTTATAGTGTAATGCAAAAGGTCTCCTTGGATACTGTGTAAAATCGTCAAGTAGACTTAACCTTCAACAGACATTTCACTATCATTAATGTCACAAGAACAGAATTCCAGAACTTGAAAATACTATGTAAATCCAGTATTCTACTGAACATGACTCCCATCTCAGAGATTAAATCCAGTGTGATATGACCAATGTATTTCATAAACGTGACACTGAAACATGTGCATAGTTTATAAAACTTGAAAGTAATAACAAGGTCTCTAAAGATTAGAACTATAGAGTGGTGTCACAGATAAGAGGACAATACTGTATGGAATATAAAGCAGAGCAAAAGGCAGAAGTAGGGAATGGTTATGGAATAAGCTTTAATGAAGCAAGATAAGGAGCAAAGTCAGAAGTCAAGAGGACAGCCTTCAGAAAAGGCCAAAGTATGACCTGTATGAGCAATGTGTAAAGACAGGGAAGAGAGGGAGGTGATGGGAAGTGTACAATGAAAAAAATCCTTTCAGCAGTATGAACATTTGGAGACAGGCAAGAGAGGTTTGATTTATACTGTGAGATAGAGAGAGGTCTAAATAAAAACAGCTAATTCAGTATTTTAAGCTGTATTTAAGCCTACTGGGGTAAGTTAGGTGCCTTTTGTTTTACTATGTTATGCGGTTTTGCAAAGTTTTATTATATATCCCAGAGGACAATATTTTTAAAATAAACTATGCAAAAATGCGCAATATAGTAAAAAAGGCACCTACCTTATATCTACATGCTAGTTTCAACCTCCAGCAGACTTGAATGGTTTGTGTTGCTGCCTCAGTGTTTATTACAGTAGTAACATCATGAAAAGGCGTTGATAGTCCATGACTTCATGGGATCTGGAATGCAGTTTGGATAGGATTGGAAAAGAGCGGAAAAAGGGCAAAACTGATTTATATGCTGCATGTCTACTTCCATTTATTAGGAGCACACAGCACATTCAGCTGTCTTACCACTTTATTTCACAGCCACAGAGCAGTTGTGAGTGATAGTAATTTTAGTTACAGATGAAGCCTATACAAGTTGAAAGGACAATTAGTATTCAATAAAGCAAGATACTGCTTTTCGTAAGAGGATCCTTAAAGCATACTATGCACAAAATAGAAGTTTTGCCACTTGTTTACACAAGAGGTTAATACCCCCCAATACATTTATAATAAAGCTTTACTTTTTTTCCTTGAAAATTAGCTTTCTAGGCTTCTTGTTCACAACTCAGGTCTCAAGTACATACACAGACAAAACTATCAATTTTGTTCTAGAAAATAATACAACATAGCACTCTACCAGCTAAGCTTCCTTAGTTACCTTCTAACATGCACCCAAGCTTAATGGTTTGTCTGAAACACCACAGTATTTTGTCATCATTCATTCTCTATTGTTCTCCAAATAAAACAAAATTCAGAAAGTATAATAGTATAAGAATAATTCCTTCACCAGCTTTTTTGGAAGCAAAATTATTACATGGTTTTAGCCACTGATAATTCGTTATATCAGTGCAGAAGTGATTTTGTACCTCATATTGTTAAAATCATGAGATCTTGCTCTTAAGTTAGGTACCAGTTCCTAAAAAAATAAAATAAATAAATAATAATAAAAAAGACACCACAGTGATTAAGAACAAGATGAAAAGATGACCTGTGAGAATACGAGTACTTTAACATGTCATTGCTACCTGGAGACTGGCAGACTCAACTGTCTACCACTGCATTCGTTCTGTATTTATAGCAACATGACAGTACCTCAGAGCATATTATGCATAAGACTGATGGCTTAAGCTAGCAGGCACTGAAGGCAGAAGCTTTCAATACAAGATGCAAGAAAAGTCAGGATCATTTTTACAGCACATTCCATACATGCAGAGCTCTTGCAGAGATACCTGTAATTAATAAAGGCAGGATGGCAGCCATCAATACAACCTCACAAACTCTGGAAAAGGCTAAGGAATTTTGGGTACACACTATTTCCAATTCCAAATGGAGCTGTCCAAACCAGAGGTTTTCACAGTGCTCTCGCTTCCATTGAGCTCTAATTATCTCACCAACAATGCAGGCGTGACACCTACCAGACCATGTCTGATCACCCAGTGCAAGGCATCAAGTTGCTTGTTAATGCAGTAGTTGCAAAGCCAGCTGCAAAAAGGCAGGATGGCTCTTACTACAATTTGAAATTCTTGTCAATTGTTTGACTCTGCAAGGTCCTGAAAACCTGTAAGCATCACTACCTGTAGAAACATGGGAAGTCCCCTTCTACAAACAAGGGCACTCAGGTAAGTTCCAATATTTGGAAAAGTTACAAGCTTTGGGCAGATCAATGCCAAACACTTTTTTTTTTTTACTACAAGAACACAGCAGCACTGGAACAGGTGCCCATAGAACATAGATTTTGCAACAGCAAAGGTTTCAGAGAGCCTTGGCTGAACTGCTGTAATGTTAATAAATGTCTGTCTTCAAGCAGCAGGCTTGACTATGTGACCTCAGAGGTCCTTTCCACCAACACATTGTAAAACAAGCTAAAAAAGCCAAGACCATAGAGCTAGGGTTACTTGTGAAGGTTACTTCACTTCACTGCCAGGGATGCCAATGTTAGCTAAAGCTGCACTGATAGATGCTAACAGCAACAAGTGACATGGAAAATTAGGCATGAATTCTAGAATTCAGTATCCTTCAGAGAGGGATCTATTGATGGGAATACTTACAGATGCACTTGCCCCTGAGGCAGAGGGCCATGTGTATCAGGTAAGAATGACATCTGTCTGCTGCCAGGTGCACAGAAAATCACAAGGCATAACAGTGACCTTTACAGAACAATATAAGGTTAAACATCTCCAGCTAAGTACCAGGTATACACATCCACACTCCATTTGGTATAGCATTAACTCAAAGATCAGGTTAGACACAGCCTTTAAAAACAGTTACCGGCTTACCTCCATGACAACAGAAGATCTTCTCATCCACAATGGCTGCAATAGGCAGGCAGTTAAAACAGTCTGTGAAGGTCTTCCAAAGCTTAATGTTAAATCTCCGCTTGCCTACAAGAACAGAGTGTGACCTTAGGAAGAGAAGGCTGTTTCCTCAAAGCCATCCTGCAATACGTATCACACCCTGACCAAAAATGTTATCAAACTGTCTTCTCAAGGCTTTATTTTTGTTACTGTACTTAGGTTTCAATCTCCTGCAACAGCATTTCAAGGACAGCAGAAGAGCAAATAATAATTCTCTAGAGCGACTTTAACCTTCATTTGAAATGTACTTCTAGAAAGTTTCAAAGCAGGTTCACAGAACATTGAAATCCTTGCAATACAAGAGTTACTACTAGAATTGTCTCCAAAACACAATATTAGCCTGATACAGTGTTTCGAAAGAAATAGGTTTTGCTTACATTCATCATAGAATCCATAGATCCGATTGATGCTAGCACACTCATGATTTCCTCTTAAGAGAAAGAAGTTTTCTGGGTACTTAATTTTATATGCCAGTAATAAGCAAATTGTTTCCAGAGACTGTTTGCCTCTGTCTACATAATCTCCAAGGAAAAGATAATTAGCTTCTGGTGGGAATCCTCCATATTCAAATAATCGAAGCAAGTCTGTATACTGACCATGAATATCACCTGAATAAAAAAAAAAACAACAAAAAACAAAAAACAAAAAAACAAAAAAAAACCCCAATGTTTACCAAGCATTAGTCCAACAACATAGAAAGAGTACACAAACCAAGAATTTGTTAGCTAATCACTTTCTATTAACTGATGTTAAAAAAAGCATTAATATTTCATTTAAAAACAGGCTGTTTGGTATATATGCAATAGGTATCAGAAAGGTGAGATTCATGCTACCATTATAAAATGAAGTACTCAGTAAATGTAAATAGCCCACAGTATTTGCAGAATTTCTATGTCAGTTAGGAAGCCAATCTGAAAACCAAAAGCTACAGAAGGCTTTATAATTAAGCATACACCTTCTAACCAAGCTCTAATTTGTTCAAATTGAAACAAGGTCGGAAGGACAACCTCTAATCAAGCAGCTACATGGTGAGGAAGCCAGCATATTAAGAAAAAAAAATAAGTCACACTATTTACTGCAAAAACAGATCAGTAAAGAATCCAGGTAGGCTGGAAAGAAACTGAACATTGTGCTGGCAGAGAGCCCCTTCTTCAAAGGTCAACTGCTTGTCCTCCCATAACATTGCTGTACTAAGATTCCCATCTCCCAGCCTTTGAGCTAACTCCTCCTTTGATGCAGTTATTCATATAAAGACAGTACAGAGACTCCAAGACTTAGACCCCTTACAAGATATTCATCCTGCAGGTATATCTTAGGAAAACTAACTGTCATGTTACTCAGCATACTGCCAGCTTTCAAATTTAACAGTCTTACCATGAAACAGCTGTGTGGCAACTACAACACCAGAGCATATCAGACTAGCCAAAGCTGTCTGTGAGCTGCCAAGGTCCAAGAAGATACCAAAGCTGCTCTACAGTAACTTGCAGAATACACATGATGTATTCCAGCTGACATGTAGAGTTCATTAGCAAAGTGACTGAATGCAAAAAAAGCTATGCAAGAAGCCTTCAGTACAGACTGTATGCTATTTAAATTTAGTACCGCCTGGTCCGTTACACTAAGCACTTCTGCTGCTTGTGCAGTGGCAAAATCCTGACTTTGTTAAGCATAGCTTTCTCCAGTAGAATGTGAAGTACTATGGCCTTAAAAAACAGCAAAAATACCAACATACACACCTCCCTAAAACTTTTTATGTAAAGAAGAATGATTCCCAAACCTTCAGTTCAAGTCTTAAAGCCTACAATGGTAAGAAGAGTACACAGCTCTATTCCTCTTTACTCTTTCAATGAGAAATGCATTACTTCCCCTTTAGGCAGCATTCTTCCGTAACTATTTCTCCCTTAGGAATCACTTCTCAATTTTCTTCTGCTAATGGTGAACTTTATCTGCTACCCAATTCCAGACACAACCTGAAGTTTCAAGAATGCAACAAGAATGATTCCTGTTCTAACCAATATGTAGAAATCTCCAAGTCACAACCAAAAGAACACATTGACGACTCCTCATCGCTATGCTGAGTCTAACACTCCAGAACTACACTATCGATACACTTCCTGGACCTCACCACCATCAGAATTAACTATCAAGTAAACATATTACACAAAGAATATTATAATTGCGTTCATTGTCTAGAACTACTTTCAGTTGCACACATGAGCCAGAGGGATCAAAACACTTAACAGGTAAAGGAACATTTTAAAGAAAGAATTTTGTAAACGGAGCTAACAACCCCAGGCACAGCTACAGGCTTGGCAGAGAAGAGATTCAAAGCAGCCCTGTGGAGAAGGACTAGGGGGTGGTGATTGATGAGAAACTCGACATGAGCAGGCAGTGTGCGCTTGCAGTCCAGAAAGCTAACCGTATCCTGGGCTGTATCAAAAGAAGCATGACCAGCAGGTCAAAGGAGGTGATCCTGCCCCTCTACTCTGCTCTTGTGAGACCTCACTTGGACTATTGTGTCCAATTCTGGTGTCCTCAACATAAAAAGGACATGGAGCTGTTGGAGCAAGCCCAGAGGAGGGCCACGAGGATGATAAGAGGACTGGAGCACCTCCCGTATGAAGACAGGCTGAGAAAGTTGGGGCTGTTCAGCCTGGAAAAGAGAAGGCTGTGTGGAGACCTTATAGCAGCTTTCCAATATCTGAAGGGGGCCTACAAGGATGCTGGGGAGGGACTCTTCATTAGGGACATGGGGTAATGGGTTTAAACTTAAACAGGGGAAGTTTAGGTTAGATATAAGGAAGAAGTTCACAGTGAGGGTGGTGAGGCACTGGAATAGGTTTCCCAAGGAAGTTGTGAATGCTCCAACCTTGGAGGTGTTCAAGGCCAGGCTGGACAGAGCCTTGGGCGACAGTTTAGTGTGTGGTGTCCCTGCTCATGTCAGGGGGGTTGGAACTAGATGATCTTAAGGTCCTTTCCAACCCAAACCATTCTATGATTCTATGATTCCATTCAAGGTACTTGTCATTTTAAAATACAGCTTCATATGGGCACAAGTTGCATTGAAATCCACCAGATCCAAAGCCCTTCAGTAAAAACCGCACCCATTTTAAAATGGACATTTACTTTCATCTTACATTGAAACACAGCCATTCAAGATGTAAAAGCTTACTTTGAACTGACTCGATTACAAGACAAGACAAACCTATAATGGTTCCTCAGGCATTGCCTGAACACACTAAAACAGTACTTCAAAGCAGTACAGCTGCATATTTTGCTTCTGGTGAAAGTGATTGTCTTTCTTTCATTTTTAGCTAAACATATCTTTGACAATTGCTCTAGTATTAAATCCAGATGCACCTGACACTTCCTGGTGCTATCACTGTGTTCAGAATCCAACTTAAATGTAACTAATGCCTTTTTTAATGTGTATTTGCAACGCTATTATTATGCACCTAACAGTCCTTTCAACTGTCTCAACTTAAACAAATGAGAAACAAGCTCTGAAGGAGGCTAATTATCCTTTGCAGACTTTGACTTCTGTGCAATCTAAATATCTGAATTTTCATTTTTTTCCTTTATCTAAGAATATGATGAGACTACTGTAGTCTTCTCAGTGTAGCATAAACACAGTGTGGTAAAGCTAGATTTTACCTTCAACTTTGTGTCATTAGGCAAGCTGGTCTAGTTTTTCCTTCCCATCCCACCAAACAATTAGTCATTTAAAAATGACTTTGCCATTAGTGGGGGTTTTTGGTTTGTTTGTTTTTTAAATTGGTAATATCCTCTCTTAATGTAAGAAGTATTGCTACATTAGGTTTGCCAGGAGGAAGCCTGGGAAGAAGCTAATCCATCTTTCAAGCATGTTAGTAATAATAAATGCAAAGACTGCTTTAATTTTAATACTATGACACTTTAAGAAGCCTAATTCAAGAAATTTTATGCTTTCTAAGACTGTCTGCTGTTAATAAGGATGATTACCAGCCAGTATTTACGATACTTTTGTAACACTTTTACAAGCTTGCGTATCTATTAACACCAGTGTACTTTTGAAGAAATCTAGCATCTTAGAAAGGCTTAGAGAGGCAAAGAACACAAATGTCACTTGGACTATTGTGTACAGTTCTGATGTCCTCAACATAAAAAGGACATGGAGCTGTTGGAGCAAGTCCAGAGGAGGGCCACGAGGATAAGAGGGCTGGAGTACCTCCTGTATGAAGACAGGCTGAGAAAGTTGGGACTGTTCAGCCTGGAGAAGAGAAGACTGCGTGGAGACCTCATAGCAGCCTTCCAGTGTCTGAAGGGGGCCTATAAGGATGCTGGAGAGGGACTCTTCATTAGGGATTGTAGTGGCAGGACAAAGGGTAATGGCTTCAAACTTAACCAGAGGAAGTTTAGATTAGATATAGGAAAGAAGTTCTTTATTGTGAGGGTGGTGAGGCACTGGAATGGGTTGCCCAGGGAAGTTGTGAATGCCCCAACCCTGGCAGTGTTCAAGGCCAGGCTGAACAGAGCCTTGGGTGACACGGTTTAGTGTGAGGTGTCCCTGCCCATGGCAGGGGGGTTGAAACTAGATGATCTTAAGGTCCTTTCCAACCCTAACTATTCTATGATTCTATGTTTTATCCATATTTCACAGTAAGAACGATACTTGTTAAAACTTGCTGTAAAGTTCAAGGAATTTATTACATGGTAGCTAAAACTAATAGTCTGCATCCGGTTTTATTTTTTCAATTGAAAGACTAATGATGCGTTCTTCAACACTACTTTTTAAGCTTCTCATTTCACAATGTGTAAAGATCTTCATTTTGCTTATACTCTGAAAACAGCAACTGCAAGACTAAACATTTGGGGGTTTCTTTAAGCCACTAATTGCTTTTTGAAATAGTGATTGAAAGAGTAGCAGCTCTGTGCGAGCAGTCTCTATGCAAGTATACAAGGGAGAGGTTGCAAAATCTGCAGTAGATGAGGGCACAAGCAGCTCTTACTGCTGATGGAACTTGCTCCTAAATAGTACTGGGAGCATCAGTAACCTACCAACTGTTAGCTGCCTTTTCTTGACTTAATCCAATCTAAACTGAAAATTACATTAAAGATTATAAGACCTCACTCTAATCTGTATCACCGAGGTCAAGGTCACTTGCCTTTGTCAGTATCCTTCCAACCCACCTAGCACTCAAGGAGATTAAAACACCTACATAAACTACATTGATACAAAGTTTACATACCACATATTTTCAGAGGTGCCTCTAGTTCCAGGAGAATAGGCTGGCTAAGAAATATTTCCCGTGACTTTATGCACAAACCCCGAACTTCTGCTTCAGTCATCTGAACAATCTTCCCAGGGCGACATCCTCGTACTGAAATGAGAAGTTTAACAATTGAATATAGTTAACTAACACACAGCAATAGGTAAGTGCAGATGAGCTGTATTTGAAATCTATATTTGTCAAAAAGCCAGCAGCCCACTCCAGCATATCTATCAATTGTGCTGGAATTACATATTCCAACGAATTCTAAAATTAATCTCTGTGCTGCTGTAACCTGCGCTTTAAGGTCAGTATGCATTCCTTTTAAATCAGGTTCTCAGAAGACAGCCATTTAAGCCATGCTTTTGTCTATATTTGGATAAAAGCAACTTCAAAACATGTTTAAATTTACAATCCCATTATGCCAGAGTATTCAAAACAGAAAAAAAAAATCCTGAGACTCAAAATCCTGAAAGCAGTTTTACATTAGTCCAAAACAAACTTCTTCAGGACTGCTGAGTTCAACAAGGCTAGCTAAATACAAAGAAAAACCACTGGCATGTATATATTTTGGGTAGCTGCAACTGCCATGTTGGAAACATCCCACTAAAAACTATGAAAGTCTGATGAAACCTTCATTCATATGTAACAGCTCTTGAGTTATTGGAACCTTTACGTCCCAAAGACATTCTAATTAGAATTAAATTGAATTGCTAAACCACTAAGTCAAGTATTCAGACCTATATTTAGCACTAAGTTTTCAAAAGCATTCACATGGCATTGTACTCCAACCAGCATCTTCTGGCAAGTTTATCTGCAGCTGCTTCTCTCCACAAATACTTATACAACTCCTCTGTCAGAGGCTTTAATGTGTCTTTAATGAGGCAGCAAAAGAGAACAAATGCGTCTGCACTTTGGCTGATCCAGTTCAGTCTCACACCTCATCATAAACCAAACTTCAGGGTTCAAACTAATAAGCCAGAATGTATCAGTGTCTACAACAGGTGAACATCCTGTTCTGCCATCTGCTTTAGATGGAAGCATTAAATAGCAGTACGTACGAGAGAAGTTGGTACAGAACTTTAGAAGTTCAAATCCTAATGCTTTCACAAACACAAACATAGCAACACATTACTACTAAAAAATTCTAGCCACAATAGCAGGAAGTCTAGTAAGATAGACCTGTGAACAGAACAGCAAAAACTAATTCTTCACACATAAAATTAAGTTCCTGGTTTCTCCTCTCCAAAACAAAAGAGCAAGCTTGCAACTTTTTTTTTTTATTATTATTAATATAACCTCCTTTTTATTTTCACTTAGCTTCTAGAAAACACACTTTAGAGAGGATATCAGTATCATTAACTACATTGTGCAACAGGGAAAAAAAAAAAAGGATATGAGGGGAAACAGTTTATCCTAGGTCACCCTGTACTACAGTCCTAAGTGTTAAAACTCATAAAGCTCTGCTCTGGTTATCACTGCATACTTCTCCCAGTGTAACTGCACATCTGACCATTCCAACACTGTGCTATGCATTTTCATTTATTTTTAATAAACACCAGACACACTTGTTAAACTGAGGTTGGGAAACAGCCACAGGAACATGTGAAGAGGCAGAAATGAAGAATGATTTTCACAAGCAGGGAAGAGATGTGAAACTAAATCCTGGGACAGCCAGTTTGAGTGCCAAAATAGCAGGAGGGATAGCCTGTCCACTGTGAGCATATACTGGAAATACTTTGCTCATTAAAATCCCACAAGAATAAGGCTGTGGCACAGAGGACTTCTTTAAGTGAAACTCTGAATCAGTACCAGGTGATATTTACCATATGGTAAATCACATTCCTTTTGCTAATTAAGATTTCAACTACACTTGAGTAAGCAAACAGCTAAACAGCTTTTTAGTTACTCTTTTGTTGTTTTCATGCATTAAGATGTTGGCTTACTTGTTAGAAGAACACAAAGGCAGACATTAGACACAATCAAGGTGACTAGAAAACAGTAGATGCCTACAGGCTTTCATCATATCTCAAACATCTACCAAGATTACAGATACATCTTCAGCCCCATGAGGATTATTAGATAAAAAAAGAAGTATCTCAGGCTTGACAGTTTTGCACAGGACTTGACTATCCAATTTGTGAGGTACCAAAATGCTTC